CCAGTTTTCCTGCCTTGCCTCCGCGCGACGACTCCGAGCGCTGGCACGTCGAGTATGGCTCCCTTGAGATGACCACAGGAGACATCTACACTGACGGGGCGTGCCGAAAACTATGGTGCTGGCCTGAATCGTCTCGTGCAGGTTGGGCCTTCGTCAAGTACACACACAATATCGGGCTCATGGTGTACGGCGCATTGCCAGGCCCCATTCAGAGTTCCCCGAGGGCTGAGCTACACGCGGTTTTGCAAGTTCTCGAGGTTTGCATACTCCCTGTACATATCCATACAGATTATTTAGGAGTTGTAGAGGGCTTGGCTAAGGGGCCCGAGTACACATGTGGCCCAAGGCGGCCTAACTCGGATATTTGGAAGGCCATCTGGCACAAGGTGCAGGACCTCGGTGGTCTCACCGTCGATCTCCGCGTCTCCCATGTGAAAGGCCACCAGACGGGGTTTTCCCAGGAGGCTCGAGCGAATCGCTGGGCCGACAAGGCTGAGTGCTGCGGCCGAGATATACATGCCCCCAGCCAGTCACAGATCAAGGCGATGAAACCCGCCTTGCGCCACCCTAGGAGTATCCTGAGTTGGGTCACACAGGCGCATATGCATCATGCCTCCACGGGGCGGGTTGACACGCACAAGAGAGTGCGGCGGCGGAGCCATCCGACGCGGGTGTCCAAGGTTGACGGCCCGCCGCCGCCCAAGCATGCGTGCCATGGTTTCGAGGAATGTGCGAAGTTCTCTCGCTGCTTCTACTGTCGCCGAGGAGGCACACGCAATCCCGTCACCCGTGCGAAGTTGCAGGTTATGCTATGTCATGCAAGGACCACTCAGGAGACCTCCGCAGCAGAGTTTCACGGGGTGTCCTGCCCTCCGAAAGAAGGAGCTGGCCCAACGGGCCAGGTGTGTGGTGAGCCTCCTAGGGACTGTGGCGTGGCTGCTGAGTTGCCTTCCTCGTCATCGCCACATCGTGATGACGATGGTGGTGACATCAGTGGTCCGACCTCCGTTGTCTCCCAGGACTTCCATTGGACTCTCAGGAACGGGCAGGAGGGCAGGAAGCGACAGAATGAAGATATTGCAGGTGCCGCTGTCACTCGTAGGAGGGTTGAATTCGATCACATCACATACACCTCCTCGGCCGACAGAGCTGAGATGGAGATGGCGGTTGCTCGAGTGGATCATGTAAGACACTTAGGAATTTCAGGGGTACCTGAACGAGAGGGTCCTGCGTTCCTCCCGCCGACTAAGAGGCGACGCAGTGGGCCAGGTCGGAACAATCGGCCCACGGAGGCTGAGTACGTGGCGCCTCTTGAGGCCATCCCGCGGCTGGGGATCGTCCCAGCGCAGGCCTCAAGAGGCCACCGCCTTTGGGTTGCGCCTGGCCACTGTGTGTTATGCGTCTCTTGCGGGTTTTATACCACGGGAACCGCGGGACACCTATTGCTCCAGTGCGATGTCAACCCCAGTTTTGTTTCTGAACGTGCCGCCCGAAATCGACGGTTGTTTCTCGCGGGGGCTCACCCCGCTGACGAGGGACGGGTGGGTGGACGCGTTTTCCCTTCGGCCCCGAGGCCCTTGATGGCCTCCGATCCCGAGGTTTCCTGGGTGCGTCTTATCAGGGACGTGTCTCGAGAGGCTTAGGGCCTCGTTTTCTGTGCCTCGTGCGCAGCCGTGATCCATTGGTGGGCTGGCGCACGTCTTGATGGCAGGAAGGCGGGCCTATCTAGCCTACCCATGTTTTAGTGCCGGCCTGTGCGACGCGCGGCCGCGTCCATCAGCGTCTTATCCTCCTCCTCCTCCTCCTCCTCCTCCTCCTCCTCCTCCTCCTCCTCCTCCTCTGGGGCTGGGATGTACTGGACTCTTCGGGTGATTTGGGTCGTTCGGGCGGCCTCCTGCTGCTTCTTGGGGCTGGCCGTGTTGGGTCATCTTGTTTGCGTCTTGGGCCGTCGTCGGGCCCTCGTGGGCCGTCTGGGGGCCTCCTGAGCCTTCTTGGAGCGATATCGGGGTGCCCCTGGAACCGTCTTGGAGCGTCGGAAGAACGAACAGGCGAGAACATCAACATCCTCAAATCATGCATGGGAAACCACTACTCTTGGAGTCTCGGGGCCCTCTGGGAGGTGGGGCATCTTGAAGCCCTCTTGGGCCGTCAGGGGGTCCCGGTGGGCCGTCTGAAGGCGCCTCGGGCCTTCTTGGGCCTTTATGGGGCGGTATTGAAGCCTCCCGAGTCATGGCCAGGGAGCGCGCCACGGTCAACCAAGCCCTCAACCGCATGCAGGCGTGAGTACCGTAAGGCAGGTGGGACGAAGAGAGGGGAGCTCCCTGCGGGGCCAAAAAACGTGTGGGGGCCGTGCCACAGTGAGGCGGTGCCGCCATGCGAACCCTGCCACTGGGTTTGTGGGGCCCCCTGTGGAGCCACCGAGCGTGTGAGGGGCATGCCGAACTGGACGCGGGTACCGCATGCGAGCCCTGCAACTGGAGGCCTGCAGTGGAGCTCCTTGGGGGGCCACGAAGCGATAGAGAGGTGTTCCGAAATGGAGGCAGGCACCGCATGCGGACCCTGCCCCTGGGGCCTTCGGTGGAGCTCCTTCTCCTCCTCCTCCTCCTCCTCCTCCTCCTCCCTCGTCCTCCTCCTCCCTCGTCCTCCTCGTCCTCCTCCTCCTCCCTTCCTCCTCCTCCTCCTCCTCCTCCCCCTCCTCCTCCCCTCTCCCCTCCTCCTCTTCCTCCCTCCGTCCTCCTCCGCCTCCTCCTCCTCCTCCTCCTCCTCCTCCCCACTCCTCCTCCTCCTCCTCCTCCTTCTGCTCCTCCTCCTCCTCCTCCTCCTCCTCCTGCTCTTCCTCCCTCCTCCTTCTCCTCCGATGAGTGTTGAAAGGGAAGCGGGTACAGCATGCGAGCTCTGCGACTGGGGGCCTTAACCGGAGCTCCCAACAAGGCCACGAAACATTTGAGAGGTGTGTCGACATGGACATGCGGAGCACAGATGCAGGGATGGGAAACGAGGGAGGGGGAGGCGTGATTGGAGGAGACGCGGAGCGCTGCGGATTCAAAACGAGGACCAAACACCACAAGACGGTTTGGGAAAAAACATCTGACCGCGTTTCCTTCCCGCGTGCGGCACCATCAGCAGCAGAAAAGACAGATGACGCTGGGTTCCACCTTCCCCTGCCACATCTCGCTAAGCAGCGCTAGAGCTCGCTGCCACTGCCTGCCTCTACTGCATACGCCGACGGTTGACATGTACTGGCCTGGACTGACCGCCGAACGTGATCGAGATGCTTCGTGGAACAACTGCAGCGCTGCGCTCCATTGCTTCGTCCTCCCGAAATTCCTTATGGCCGCCTCGATGGAACAACTACCTTGGCATGATCCTCGCCGCGTGTCTAACATTGAAGGGATCCTGGGCCATGGCCGCGGCCTTGAGCCCAAACGGCCTCATCTTCCGCCATCGCCCATCATGATCAGCAGCAGCAGCATCGACGTCATCACAATCATCAGCATCATCAGCAGCATTATCACCATCATCATTATCATCAGCAGCAGCATCACCATCACCATCACCATCATCACCATCATCATCATCACCACCATTAGCATCATCAGCATCAGCATCATAATTTTCATACTCGTCATCATCAGCATCGTCATCGTCAGCATAATCACCATCATCATCCTCATCATCATCATCAGCAGCATCACCATCATCCTCATTAGCATCATCATCATCGTCATCATAATATTTACCATCAACATCACCATCACCATAATCATCACCATAATCGTCATCACCATCACTATCATCACGATCACCATTATCACTATCATCACTCGTATTCCTCTTCTTCCTCCTCGCAATCCATCCTTTACGTATGTACTACCCTCCCCCTCCCCCAGGCTCCCATATCCTTCCCCTTCCTCCTAATCCTCCTCATCCATCCTGTATCATCCTTCTATCTCCTCCCTCCTCCACCTCCCTCCTCATCCTCACCTCGTCTGTTCTCACCTCGTCTCTTCTCTTCTCTTCTCTTCTCTTCGCTTCTCTTCTCTTCTCCTCCTCCTCCTCCCTCCTCCTCCATCCTCCCCCTCCTGCTCCTGCTCCTCCTCGTCCTCCTCCTCCTCCTCCTCCGCCTCCTCCTCCTCCTCCTTCTACTCCTCCCTCCCTCCCTCCCTCCCTCCCTCCTCCCTCCAGGCCCTCTGCCGTCACCCGAGTCGGCGGCCCTGACGATGGGGTGGCGGCGGCAGTGGCAGTACCCGAACGCGCCCAGAGTCCAGCAAGGCATGAGGTTGCAGACCTGATGTGACGACTTGTCATCTGTCAAACGCTCTGGGGGGGGGGAGCTGTGCTCAGGGGAGGTGGCAGCACCGCTCAACGGTGTGCTGTGTAGCGGAACGTGCAAGATGGGCAGATTCGACGTCGTCGTCGGCGTCGTCGGCGTCGTGGTCGTGGCGCGTGTTGCTCTGCTCAGGCCGTGCTTCCCTTATGCAGTGACCACCACCACCCACCCCGATCTCTTATTTCTTATCCTATGTATTATCATATCTCTTCTCAAAATCCAATCTCTTATTTCGCATCCTATCTCTTATCGTTTCTTACTTTTTGACGTTCGGCAAACTTCGATCTGCGATGATGGCGCTGGTACGGCGCAAAGAGAGGCGGCCAAACAGGTAGCATGACAGACTTTTAGGCGCGGAGGCATACAAGTCTGACCACATGGTGTGCCAGGCAAACATGAGCGATGAAACAGTTGCGTTTCGGTGATACAGGGAAAGCGCGATACGCACCGACTAGAACAATCAAACGATAAGCGTCAGGCCCTGGCACTGTAGCAGCGCGCGTCGGCGAGATACAAGAAAAGCGAGACAGTTGGCAGCAGCAGAGATTCAGAGCGTGCTGCAGCGCTGGGTGTGGAATGAGACCTCCTCCCTCTCCTCCTCCTCCTCCTCCTCCTCCTCCTCCTCCTCCTCCTCCTGCAGGCCATTGGCTCCGGCTCCTCCGCGGGGCGCCTCGACCGCGACCTCGGCCTCCTCGCCCAGCGACGCCAGGGTCGTGAAGGTCAGGCTCCGCCCGGTCCAGATGTTGCCGCTCGCAGGGGGCGCCGGGGCCGGCCCAGCGCGCGCGAGAGGGGTGCGCGCGCGTGCGCTCTCGTGGCCTCGCACCTCTCCTCCCTCCCTCCTCGCCCCCCTCGGTCGGCTGCACGCAGGAGCGGCCCTGCAGGCAGGAGTGACTCCTCCAGTGCGCGGACGAAGGGGGCGCCAGCTGGCCGAATCCAGGCGCGCAAGCAGGCACTATCCCAGGCATGCGACGTCTTCAGGACGGCGTCCCCGGGGCCGGTTCTTCATCCTGCGTCCTTTGTTGACGCTCCTGGGGCCCGGCGAGGGCCTCTCGAGGTCGAAAACAGTGCAAAACGTGCAGTCCTGATCTTGTTGCGACGCGATCATGTCTGGGTTCCTCCTCCTCCTCTTCCTCCTCCTCCTCCTCCTCCTCCTCCTCCTCCTCTGGCGATCGGGAGGGCCCCGCTGAGCCCTCGAGGCGCTCGCGCCGCGCCTCCGGCGCCCGCGCTGCGGCCAGCCGCGCCGCGATGGGCAGCAGCGTCGGCGGCCGCGTGTGGCCGACGCTCGGCGGGCGCGCCGCTCGGCCGCAGGCGCCCGCGGCCCCTCCCCATCGAGAGCCCCTCCTCCTCCTCCTCCTCCTCCTCCTCCTCCTCCTCCTCCTCCTCCTCCTCGTTCTCCTCCTCCTCCTCATCCGCCTCCTCCTCCTCCTCATCTCCTCCTCCTCTCCTCTCCTACCACGCGGCAGCCGCGGGGCACGCCGAGGACGCCTACGGAGGGTTCCCGTCGTGCCCGACTGCGACGGAGGCTCACTCCTGCGGGGGGGCCCTCCCGGGGGCGGGGGGGGGGGGCACCTCGCAGCCCTCCCGGCGGGCCGTCGGAAGGCGCCTCGGGCCCTCGGGGGCCTGCGTGGGGCCGTCTGGGAGCCTCCCGAGATGGGGCCAGGGAGCGCGCCGCGGCCAGCCAGGCCGGTATGAAGCATCCGGACGGAAGGGCCCAACCGCATGCAGGCGTGAGTGCCGCACAGTGGAGGCCTGTCCACAAGAAACCCTCCACAAGAAACCCAACCCTGAGACCCCAGGACGTCCGTGGGTTCTGGTGTGGCAGCGTCACGCTCCCCATCGCAAGACCATCGAGACCCAAGAAGCCCAGGGCACCCCGGAGGCAAGCAGGGTGCTTCTTGGCATGGGCCTCCACTGTAGGTACAGTCGACTCTCGCCGTCGTGAAGGTCAGGCTCCGCCAGGTCCAGATGCTGCCACGGGCCGCGGGCCCCAGGCTGGGCCCACAGCGCGAGCAGGGTGCGCGCGTGCTCGTACCGTGCCGACTTCGGCGCCGGCTCCTGGCACCGCGGGGGGCCCTTCGGCCTGGAGCGGCAGCTTCCGAAACGTCCGATGTTTCAACATCGACCTATTCTGGGTCGCTGGCGGCATGCAACGTGGGACGCTTCGGTGCCCCCCTGACGGGGACTCCACTATAACGGGCACTTTGGCCAGGGACCCCCGGCGAACGTGACCCGACCCTCCCCGATGCGGGCAGCGCTGCAATGCCAGAAAGAGGCCCTCAAGTGGCAACTTTCGGCAAATCTCCAAAGTACCCGTTGGTGAATACCCGTTACGGTGCCGCTGAACGCTGGCGGCGAGGCCGCCGCCGGTCGACACGGCGCGAACCTGCCGTGCGCGCGTCTTCCTCTTCCTTCTTTTCCTCCTCCCTCCTCCCTCCTCCCTCCTTTTCTCCCTTTCTCCCAAGAGGAAACGCACGAGGAAGAGGAGGGAAGAAGAGGAGGAGGGGGGAGGGCGGACGAGGAAGAGAAGCGCCAGAAGAAGCGGAAGAAGATGGGGGAGAGGAGGCGCAAGCAGGAGGAGGAGGAGGAGGAGGAGGAGGAGGAGGAGGAGGAGGAGGAGGAGGAGGAGGAGGAGGAGGAGGAGGAGCACGCGCAGCAGCAAGCCTGACCTGGGTGGCCCCGGGAGGCAGCCTCCTCCGCGGCCCCCCCGCGGTGCCCCGCAGGCGGGATATGCGCCTCCTGGCCAGCGACGGCCCCGCCCGATGGAATGGAATGCCTCGCTCGCGGCTGGGCGCGGGCACGTCTTCGGGCGGCGCCTGGCTGCTCCCAGGATCCGCCCGCACGCGGGCCAGCGCAGCTCTCGTGAGCCCCCGCAGGCGCCACGAGCGTGCCTCGCGAAGGTCTTCCCGCGGGATGCGAGCGAGAGCACGGCAGGCGGAGCACCACTGGGCCTGCCTGCAGGCCTGGGCACGATGGCCGCGCCCGGCCGCCTCTGCGGGCGGGCACGCGCAAGGCGGCGGCGCTGCAGCGCAGAGAGGAGGAGGAACATAGAGGAACGAACAATGACACAAAGATAAAAACTCGGAGGTCCGCGCGGATTTCTCGGATCGGCGCTGGAGCCCCCCGGCGGCGCCTCCGGCGACGCACCCGGCGCTCCAGGGAGGGGGGTGCAGCGCTGACCCGAGAAATCCGCGCGGACCTTCGAGTTTTTATGTTTATGTCATTGCTTGTTCCCCTAAGGAAGACGACGACGACGACGACGACGACGACGACGACGACGACGACGACGACGAGGACGAGGACGAGGACGACGACGAGGACGACGACGACGACGAGGACGACGAGGACGACGACGAGGACGACGAGGACGACGACGACTTATACGTCAGCATCAGGGATGAGTACAAACCTCGATCGCATTGGGCTGCAATCCGTTGTGACAAGAACGATGGCACTATGCCATTCGGAAGAAATCCCGCTGCACGGGAGGACTGTGCCTTTCGTATGTGTCGCGAAGCGCTGGTGCGGCCTGGGGCTCGAGCGGCATAGCAGGCGGCATGGGAATCGAGCGGCTAGTACAAGCTGGTTTGAACATGCATACTATATCTACACCACTTCGTGTCCGAGGAAAGCGGCGGCTTCCTCGTCGGCGTCATATGCGTCGTCGGGACTCGGCAATTCACCCATACAATCGCCTACAGAGTCCTGACGGTCGTCCCCAGACACCCTGGACACGTTCTGAGCTACAGATATAATTCGCTGAGGTTCGGGTGCCGCGCGTGGCGGCGAACTGGCACGCACGAGTCGAATTGGCTGCGACAGAGAGCGTGCGAGCGGGCCGTGCCTAGTCGGGAGGATGGGAGGAGCGCGGTCTTGTCCTAGCGGCTCAGCGCCTGGACCCACGTCGACAGCTCCTCCTCGAGCCAACCCGCGGGCATCACGCCCGTGTGGACCGTGGCCTTGCCCTCGCAGCGGAGGGAGTTGAGCACGACCTTCCTCATGTTCCACGCCTTCATGGAGAACAGGATCTTCGTGGTGGCTGAGTCGTGGCACTTCTCGAGCCGTATGAAATCTACTGCATCCTCGATGTCTGTCTTGCTGATGTGATTCTCTTCCATCTCGTCGAGCGCGGTCCGATCCAGCCACTCCTGGATGGCTCGCTTGTTGGCGCCCCCGATGCGACCCGACGATCAGCGAGAGGTTCCGATACTACGACATGCGAGAGCTCCGCTCCACATTCGTCTCCCAGGAATGGGCACCACCCGAAGCTCTACCCATCACCACCCACCTCCCATCTCCCGTGTCTGTCCCCGTTGACTCCGACGACGAAGAACTACTTTACGTATGTGGGTTGGGGGGCTGCGAACAGAGGTTCGCCACCGCCCATAAGTTAGCCATCCATCAGGTCCATTCTAAGGCCCCAGGACACGGCTGGCCCCCGATCCTCACGACACTTACGGTTGACAACAAGTGCCTGATGTGCAACACCGTCTTCCAGAATATGGAACATACGATCCGTCACCATCGTAGGTCATGGCTCCAGGGACGTTGCCTACCAGACCAAACTCGACATGTATATACATATGTTCCCGCTGGTGTACGCATGTGTCCGTATTCGGCCGTCTCGAAGAACCCCCAGTGTTGCATAGAGGCTAACTCGTTGGAGTCCTTGAGGGCCCACTTGCGTCTACACTTACCGCCGTCGCCATCTGGCTCAGCGTGGAAGCAGCCCGATACGCCGACCACCCGCAGGCCCACCAGCAGCGGCCCTCCCTCGGGGCCTCCCGCGGTCGCGACAGCTCGCGACACCGCGGCAGCCGCGGACACCGCGGAGGCCCGCCAGGCGCTTCGCTTGGCATCGCATCGCCTTCTTCTGCCTCGTGCCCCACCAGCTGCGGCAGCTGCGGCCCAACCTCGTGACGCACGACGTCACGCTGCTGGCCGAGAACATCCACCAGGGGATCCACCACCTGGTCCACCGCTGCCTTCGCCCACGGCCGCTGCGCCGCACCTGAGAGGACAAGGCGCTACCACCACCCCGACACTACCTGTTCGACCCGATGGCGGCGAACGACACGCCGATGAACCGCACCAAGACGACGTGGCGATTGCAGGCCTCATCGGACCCCTCCAAGACTTCTGGCGGCGCCTCAGCGAGCAAAGGGCGAGACGGGGACGGAGCGCCGCTACAGAAGACACAGAGGGGAGCCGAAGGGGCCAAGGGCGGAGGCAAGGATCAGGCAGCAGAGGCAGAGACGGACGCACCAGCGCGCCGTCGGCGCGGAGGCCAGCGCCACCGCCGTGGACAGCACACCGAGAAGAAGTGGACGAGCAAGGACCCGAACCTGTTGCAGATGATGACGATCATGGGCAAGCTGGCACTACAAAACAGCCATCGAGCCAGGCTAGCGCTGGCCACGACCGTCGACACGGCCAACCTGCCGACCAGCCACTCGCTCGTGGTCGCGATCTCGGAGGACCTGGACATATTTAAGCAGCACGTCGAGAAGCTCCGCCAGGGCGACGACGGCCAGAAGGAGGAGCTCAAGACTCTAGGGTCGCCGACCGCCTCGCTCGTCCTGGACGACGACGACGACGACGACGACGACGACGACGACGACGACGACGACGACGACGACGACGACGAGGGGGGAAACGACCGCTGCGCGCAACGCGCGGCGAGAGCGCGCGGGGCGAGGACGCGTCCGCGGGGCCCACGGGCCCATGGGACGTGCCCGAGCGGGCTGCCGCTGGCGCGTCGTGCCCCTCCGTCGGCGGGACGTTTTCGGACGGGACCGCCGTGGACAACTGCGACACGAGAGATCGTGGGGCGCGCATTCTTCGTCGTCCTCCTCCTCCTCCTCCTCCTCCTCCTCCTCCTCCTTCCCCTCCCCCTCCTCCCTCCTCCCTCCTCCTCCCTCCTTCATCGATCTCGGAGGGTCCTGAGGTGCCCCAGAGCCTCCATGGGTCCCCGGGGCCTACTGGGGGGATGAGAGATTTCCGCGGGGCGGCACCGCCTATGGCAGGCCAGTTTTTTGTGTATTTGTTCGGCTGCCTGCTGGAGGCTAATCGATACCACCTCCACCGCTCGCTCTCGTGTTTCTCGACTTGACTCGTCTCTCCCCATGCGACCTTTCGCCTCGTTCCCCGCTCAACGGGGTCCTTGGCCCGCCCTGTCGCCATTTGGTCCGACGGCCGCATCACCGTGGACCCGCTTGCTGCCCTGTTTGACGACTTTGGCGTTGTGGTGGCCACTACTTGGCCAAAGGCTCGACCCTGGTTGCAGGCTCACGCGGAGGTGTGCTAATTACAGTGGGCACGTGTGCGACGATGACTCGTGCCTCCGAAAAAGCCGTAAACAATTCGCAGAAGAACATCGCGTTCAGTGAACGCGATGCTCTTTCGAAGGGACGTTCACTTGGTAAAAGCCCCTCCGAAAGACAATCGACAATTCGCGAAAGAGCACGGCGCTCAGTGAATGCGAGTCAGCTCCAGGGTGTCACCCTGGAGTTGACCCGCCGCGGGTTCCTCCCCACATGCTCACCACGTGGCCGTTTTTCCATGCCTCCCAAGGGGCACCACTCCCTCGGGAGACCGCACGCTGCACGCCCCCCTTCGCACGCCAGGGCCGGGCATCCTGGCCGCAGGAAGGACGGGTGTGAGCTCACGGATGGGCCCCCCCGCAGGGGACCCGCCTCCCGCCCAAGCGCTCCGCGGTGTACGCGCGGGGCCACCGCAAGGAGAGGCAAGGCGACGAGGGTGCAAATTTCCCCGTCCCTGGCCCCATACGGGCAGGCAAGGGTTACGAACGGGCTGCTACCCGCCTGTTTTCCTGGAGGAGGAGGAGGAGGAGGAGGAGGAAGAAGAAGAGAAAGATGATGATGAAAGAGGAGGAGGAGAGGAGGAGGAGGAGGAGGAGGAGGGGAAGGAGGGGGGAGGAGCGTCGAAGAGGAGGAGAAGGACGGAGGAGGAGGAGGAGAGGAGGAGAGGAGGGAGGAGGAGGAGGGAGGAGTAGGAGTAGGGGTAAAGGAGTAAGGGAGGAATAGGAAGAAGGTGGAGGCAGGGGGAGGAGGAGGGAGGGAGGAGGAGAGGGGAGGAAGTAGATGTGGAGGAGGAAGGGACAGCAGGAGGAGCAGGAGGGTCAGGACGAGAAGGATGATGGGGGGGAGAAGGGGGTGGCGGATGCGGGGAGGGCGCAGAGCAGACACACACACACACAAGAGCAGGCACACACGCGCACACACTCTCACCCCCGCGCGCGCGCGGCAGAGCGCCCTCCCTGCCCTTGCGGCCTGTCATCCGCGACGGCGCCCGGCGGGAAGGTAAGCCTTGCGGGAGAGGAAGCAAGGAGGGAGGGAGTAACAGGATGGGGGAGGCAGAGGAGGAGGAGGAGGAGGAGGAGGCAGTGGGAGAGAGGAATAGGGATAAGGAGGGAAGGCGGGAAGGATGATGCTGCTGCTGCTGATGGTGGTGGCGGTGGTGATGATGATGCTGATGCTGATGCTGATGATGAGGATGATGATGAGGATGATAGGGGAGGGTGACGCTGATGATGCTGATGATGATGACGATGCGTTTGCTGATGGCGACGGCGACGATGATACTGACGACGACGGCGGCGACGACGACGATGATAACGATGACGGTACTGGTCATGGTGGTGATGATGATGATTATGATGATGATGATGATGATGATGATGATGATGATGATGATGGTCATGATGAGGATGATGCTGATGACGATGGTGATGCTGATCTTGATGCTGCTGATGATGATGACGCTGATGATGATGATGCTGAGGATGGTGGTGATGATTGCGATGATGATGATGATGATGATGATGATGATGATGGTGGTACTGATAATGCTGATGGCGATGCCGACGCCAGAGATGATGATCATGGTGATGGTGATGGTGATGATGATGCTGATGATGGTGACGACGATCCTGACACGATTATGATTCCGATGACGATGGTGATGGTGGTGATGGTGGTGGTGATGATAATACTGACGACGACAAAGACGACGACGATGCTGATGTTCATGATGATGATGATAATGAACGGAGAGGACGCGGTTTTGGAGGATGAGGATGCTGATTATGATGGTGCTGAACCTGCTCATGCTGAAGATGATGCTCATGATGATGATGACGATGATGATGATGGTGATGCTGATGATAAGGATGATGAAGATGATGATAATGTTGATGGTGATGCTGATTATGATAATGATGATCATGGGTATGCTGCTGATGGTGATGAGGACGATACTGATGATGATGATGATGATGATGATGATGATGATGATGATGATGATGACGGCGACTCTGATGCTGATGATGCTGATGACGAAGTTTATGGTGGCAGTGATGGTGGTGATGGTGTTAATACTGCTGACGACGACAAAGACGACGATGATATTGATGACGGAGAGAGGAGGGTCAGGAGGATGAGGATGGTGGTGATGATGATGACGAAGACGACGACAGTGATGGTGATGATCATGGCGATGATGATGATGATGATGATGATGCTGTTGATGATGATGGTGATGGTGGTGCTGATGTTGCTCATGATGATGATGACGATGATCATAATGGTGGTGATGACGATGATTATGATGAGGATGATAATGGCTGTGCTGATGCTGCTGATGAGGAGGATGATGAGGATACCGATGATGATGGCGATGATGATGATGATGATGATGATGATGATGATGATGATGATGATGATGATGATGATGATGATGAGAAGGAGGAAGATGATGATGACGATGATGATGCTGCTGCTGATGATGATGATGCTGATGATGCTGGTGCTGATGCTGATGCTGATGGTGATGACGACGGTGATGATGGTGGTGATGATGCTGCTGCTGTTGATGATGTGGAAGAGGATGAGTAGGGAGGATGGAAGGAGGCGGAGGAGGAGGAGGAGGAGGAGGAGGGAGGGAAGAGGAAGAAGAGGGTAGAGGTGGAGGAGGAGAAGGAAGGAAAGATGGAGAGAGGACAGAGGAGGAACATGAAGGACGAGGAGGAAGAACATAGGAGGTGGAGCAGGGAGGAAGGAGGGTGAGAGCAGGGAGGAGAAAGGAGAGGGAGAGCGAGATTCGTTGCCAGGAAAGCTCCGACACCGAATACGCCCCAGGATTTACAGACATGGCTGGCCGAACTAGGCCATCGTTGGAAATTCGGGCCGAAGACCCTACTCCCCCCCCCCCATTGTCGGAAGCAACATCTCACGAACTCTCAGGAGGGCAATCTACGAAGCCCTCGTGACTGAGAGGCGACCGTGCGCACAACCGATGCGCACTCCTGGGCGAGAAGCCTGGGTGCTCCATCTGCGTACCTGCTGCACTCGCCACAGAAGCCAGAACGGCCCCTCTGCCACCATGTGTGATTATGGCGCAGAAGCTGCTGCGGAGGATGGGAGGGGAAAGAATACGGAAGAGAGATGAGGAGGGATGGTGGGGAGCAGGGAGGAGTGAGGAGGAAGGGGGTTACGGAGAGTAGAGGGACGAGATGGAGACGGCGGGAGGGGGCGGGGGAGGAGTGGGGAGGGAGGAAGGGGGGAGGAGAGGAGAGAAGAGGAGAGGGAGGAGGGAGACGAGGAGGATGAGGAGCACGGAAGGGGAATCAGGAGAGAGGAACTGGAGAGAGGAGGAAGGAGCCGGAAGGAGGCGCAGGGCACAAGGCGCAGAGATGCGAGGGATGCGGAGGAGGGCGGGGGGATGAAGGATGGAAGGGGCAAAGAAGGAAAGAAAAGGGGGGCGAGTCCTCCTCCGCTCCTGCTCCCTAAGAGCAACTTCTCCCTGTCGCCCCGAGGAAGGTCGAAATGGCGGGCCGGGCGTTTCGCTGGAGGCTTCCTTACCATGTGTGAGCCTCAAGATTACAAACTGACAACAGCTTCGCAGATGGAGGGCGGCCCGCTTCCAAAATGCGGATATTGCCGTAGCGCCGCGCACATTCGTTTTCAATATTTGCTAGAGCTTCACCAATTGAGGGTGGTTCCTTTACAACATGTGGCTCTCGCCCCAGCGCCGCGTATATTCGCTTTACACATGTGCGAGGGTTTCACGGATCCCCTGTTTCTAACGGTTCAGGACTGCCAGAGCGCAACAGTTACGCTGATTCGCGCTGTTGAAGTCTCAGGACATGTGTCCTGGCACGGTTCATTATCGTCAAGACATAACAGTCGGCTTCATTCGTGGCGATGAAGTCCCGGAAATGCTGTTTTGGCACGCTTCGGGATCTTCAATCGTTTCTCAAAACGGGGCACTTCATTCAGCGGGAATGAATATTTGTAGGGAGGGAGCCTGGGGGAGGGTTTATTCAAACATCGTTGATGAGCCTTGCCTTTGCACTGGTCCTTCTCCTCCTCCTCCTCCTCCTCCTCCTCCTCCTCCTCCTCTTCCTCCTCTTCCTCCTCCTCCTCCTCCTCCTCCTCCTCCTCCATCCTTACTCCCACAATCAAGCTGCTACCACCAGGAACGCCAAATGCGGAACGACGCCCGTGTCTGCCCCCCCCCCCCCCCCCCCAAAAAAAAAAACACCTCGGTGCGCCAGGAGCGCTGGAGGAACAACCATGGAAGGACCTAAGGAACACCGAGCCCCTTTCTGAACCCGAACTGCTTCCTAGTTAAGGGTGGTGGCTGTACTCCTCGGCATCCTCCTCATCCTCTTAGTATTATCTTCCCTTCTCCGGGCCCACAAACAAAAACGTACGCGCCCAATCATGAAACCGAATACGGCCCCCTCAGTCCGCGAGGCCAGCGTCGAATTACGAACGTTCGCGTAACGCATAACTACAAACCCACAAAAATCAATGTACGCTCGCGTCTTGTTGTTTGCGCTTGCTCGGCATCGTGTTCCCTCAGTACCCTCCTCCTGATTATCCTTTCACCTCCTCGTTCCTCCTCCTCCTCCTCCTCCTCCTGCTCTTGCTCCTGCTCCTGATCCTGATCCTCCGTTATCCTCCTCGATCCTCCTCAATCCTCCTCGTCGTCGTCCTCCTCCTCCTCCTGATCCTTATTGATATTATCCGCGACCCCCTCCTCCCTCTCCTCCTCCTCGTCCTCCTCCTCGTCCTCCTCCTCGTCCTCCTCGTCTTCCTCCTCCTCCTCCTCCTCCTCCTCCTCCTCCTCCTCCTCCTCCTCCTCCTCCTCCTCCTATTCCTCCTCCTCCTCTCCTCATCCCTCTCCTCCCTCTCCTCCCCCACCCCTCCTCCTGCTCCTCTCCCTCCCCCCCCTCCTCCTCCTCTCCTTCCTCCTGCTCCTCCTCCTCCTCCTCCTCCTCCTGCTCCCCCTCCTCATCAACCTTCTCCTCCTCCTCCTCCTCCGCCTCCACCTCCGCTTCCTCGTCCTCCTACTCCACCTTCTCCTCCTTGTTCTCATCCTTCACCTTGGCACTCGTCCGCAGTGAACCATTTCATCAGAACAATATGTAATAATAGCAGCCCATACACTGAAGTACTGGCTGAGGGAAACTCGAAGTCTTCCCTGCTTCATTATGACTGAGAAAGACTTGTTGCCTTCAGTGCCCACTCGGCGACGGAAGGTTCAACACTATCATCTGAGTGAGGAGGTACCAGTATGTGAACTGATGTCCCGCTCCATGTACGACATAACATATGAGAACTCTATCTTGATGTTGCTCATGTGTGCATTCCAAGAGAAAAAACTGCCATTGGCTGCCTCTTCGCCTGATAATCCATATGAAGGTACCCTCTCATGCAATGCAAGGGGCCCGTATACAGTGGACGTGCATAAATGTTTGAGCCCACCATTTCACAATAATCAATAATCACAGCGCCGACCGAGGGGGAGCACGCTCCGTCGCGATTAAGGCATCGTGGCCACCAGTAATGGCCCTACGGGTCCTCCCCCTCGGCGATAGATAAAACAATACATCCAGCATACCAGATGCATCCAGCAAAACCAGACTCACCGCCACTCCTACGCGCTGTTGTCCTGCGAGCGACCTAAGTCCAACAGGCAGGTGCACCAGAGGGGTGGACGATGGCTGTGCGACTAAACCAGGTGATTAGCCTGGATTTTGCGTCCTAACGCCCTCCACAAAGAGCGGCAGTAAATTGCTGAAACCTTCTTGTCGGTGCTGTGGAGCCACAGAGAGTACAAACCAATTCCTTGTCCTTTTGGTCAGCTCGATAGTGTGTGAGAACGTGACAACGGTTACCTGGAATCTTGGTCCTCTTGTTATGCTCATCTACCATGATTACGTAGTCAGCAGCGGTGCGCTTCTTGCCAAGACGTGGGCCACGTGGTGCTCCAGGCTGACAAAGAAGGCGCGACCATGAGC